AAGGAACAGTAAACAAACAAGAACTACTATCTCTCCCTCAAGTAGGGAGGACTGGGAGCAACTATCAGACAAGCCCCTTTAGGCTCTTCATATTTTCCTCGGGTTCTTTCATAACTTGATGAGATTAAGGAGATAGTAAGGGAGAGGTTGCTTATAGACCAAGCAGCATTGGGAGAAGGGGTGTAGCTTCAGGAAGAATCCCATCAGGGGACGAACTAGGTCACTAAGGACGGGATTTATATTTGCTCTATTGGGGTCCTACCCAATTACTGGAGAAAGATAGGAGGGAGGGGGTTGGTTTATGAGGGTAGTATCTGATCTTGACGAAGATTCCTCATCTCCCGAGTTAGCGGAGCCGTAAAAGTCCTATACAACTGCTATTTTCGATAGTAGTAATCAAAAGCATTTCTCGAAAACGAGAACAATTGGTAGGTAATAGGTAAAATTCAGGAAGTTGGTAGATAGCAAGGGGCAGGAGAGGTTGTACCGGAGGAAGACATTTGGGGGGGGGGGATCGTCTGCCAGCGCCATTTCCCATCTGGATGCTGTAAACCAAACTTTAATTCCGCTTCTTCAGTTACCTATATTCAGAAGATCGAGAAGACTTACAATCTGACTGCAAGCCCGAAATCAGCCATGCAACACATTCCGGGTCGTTTGACGATGATATTCTTTGATTTGATGTCGCGATGGGCAATTTGAGGCTTCCGCCGGCTACCCGTTCCTATCACGGAGGCGTGAAGATGTTCGATACCGCAAATGGAGCTGAAAACAGAGATATCATCAAAGCTTCTTAGGCTCTTGGAGAGTTAGCTCAGCTTGTCGGAAGAGCCTTATGTTGTCACTCTGGGTAGAGTATCGCTGATGATCAGCATAAGCAAGCAAAAGTAGCAAGATTATCACGTGGCAATGTAACGAGCCTTTTCGTAGAATTTCGGTATTCTTTGAAGATAGCAAAAGTGTTCTTATGCTTAGCAGCACCCATTGCATCTTAATTAATTCTGCCCAAACAATTGTTGTGGACTGAACCGCTTCGAACGAAGTACCCAGATCGCATTCCGGTGGCGGAGCTTAGTTCACAGCTGTGGTCAGTTGCACAGTAAAGGACGTTTACTGATTCCTTCGTAACTATTGCTTGTTTCTCTCGGCAACTATTTCATTATTTATATTATTTACTATTTCCGAAGATACAGAATAAGTCACGAAGCAGAATGCAGTCAACATCATCGACATCATGCCGAGGTTACAAGAAAGGAGAGTGGAGATTGCTGCTAAGTAGACTGATTTCCTCGTAAGAAATCTAAAAGCAATAAAGCACTACGGTGCTAAGGTAGAGAAAGTGTTCCAAGATTCACTGCCGTCAGGAAAGTATCATTGAGAGAAGTAATCAAAGAATGTCTTCGATATCGAATCCTAACAAAGCATTTCCCACCTGTAAGCTAACTGTAGCGCTTCTTGAGTGGTCAGAGCTTGCTCTTGTTGAAGATAGTCGTACAACGATCCAAGTGGATGATAGTCAGTCACCAGTATCATTTGAGTAAATGAATCCATACTGAATATGTCGGCAGCAACAAACTCTGAACGAAAAAAGAGACTCACGAACGGGTCATTTAGCATTTTTCAGCGGCTAGTTTAGCTTTTTTAGTGTCTACTGATTTCAGTGGTAAAAGTGAACCATCTTGATCACAGGAACTTACAGGCCTTTAAAGGGGGAGAGGCTGTAAGTGCTTTGTTGAGTACCATTTGGTGCACCACTGATAGCCCAATTGCTCTACACTTTTACTAATGGTAAGCGGAAAATAGTTTTTCTAGGCGCAGCAGCGGCACCTAGCTAACCACTCAACCTGGTGGGCTGCACAAATAGGATCGCGGTCATCTTGCTCACTAGGGAAGGTCGTGTCGAAGTGGCCATTTGTAATGAGATGTAGCTCACTAGACGTGGTTTTGGACGCTGATCTCGAATCTGCCTTCGAAATTTGCAGAACGATTCTCTGAACGGAGTTATGGAGCTTTTTCCACCGCGTTTACCACGCAACAGGTCGTGGGATCGGATCCCTGCTGAGCTTAACTTTTTTGCTTCTTGTGCAAACGTGGCAAAAAGTGGTTGTGGCGTCATTAGCTCTGAAAAACAGTTTTCTATCGCTTACTGGCCGCCTTAGTGCCTGGTTATGTGCCCTAGTGCCTGCTAGGAGAATTTTTGATGAACAGGTGCCCATTGCGGCGGATGCAGGCCGTTTTTAACGGCTGAGCGGGCCATATCATCCTTGTTTATTTCGGATGGCGAAATATCGCCTCAGGTGATGATGGTTTCTAGACAATCTGGCGCTTTTGACCTCACTTCGACTAAGGTGAAGCATACTATGGGTAGTTTCATTCGATGTTCACACCTTATTCCGTGCAGATACTCAGTTCTCTCTGCGCAATAGCCTCGCTCTTGGCCATTTCTTTACGCATCTGTTGCTATCTTGCTCAATTTCCTGTATTTCTCAATTAGCAACTGTCGTCCAAAGATCAACATGTCGACAAGAGACTTGGCCTGGATACAATTCGGTCTTCATCGACTCAATCTTCTTAAGCCGCACTGTTCATTGTTAGGTCACGAAACCTCACTTCTGGCTAGAAAGCTGTCCCGTAGTAGTTGCTGTCCCCAAGGTAGTTTTGCTCCCTGAACACGAATATGGCACCCATTTGGCGTTTGAGTGTTTTCTAGACTTAAAAGAGACATTCCCCACAAAATGCAAAACAAGTTCCCTTCCAGAAATCCGAACCCTTCATAGCATGCCCGCGAAGCAAGACCATTACCACTACACCATGCCACCGTTGAACGAAATGGGCTTCCCGGCTATTTATGCGAATGGCTGGCAACCGCGCTCGACTCTGTTTTCCTTCATTTTAATTCTAACAAACCTTCATAATTCCGTTCATAGAATCGTTCTGCAAATTTCGAATCATCGAATGGCCACTTCGACCTGACGACCTTCCCTAGTCAGAATAGGACACGTTCTTCATGTAGGACCGGCCCTGGAAGCACTAGAAAAAATTCGCTGCAATGCCAGAGTCCAGCAAGTTTTTTCAGCTTCTTTTCTTAACCATATGGTGAGTTCGATGAGTTTTTCCTCCTCCTAATTGATGGTGTAATGACAGGCCGTACCGACATTATGCCCCCTCACTTTCGTAATCAAATCCTGGTCACTTTCCACCAAGGTTAACCAATCCTTCCAACTTTCGAAACCTGAGTCGCCTTAGAATGGTGACCCCGTTAAATATTTCTGCATTGCGTTCAAAACGCTCAAGCTCCTGAAAGCAACTGGAATGTGTGGCGCATCCTAGACGGAATTTGATGGACGCCAAAAGCTCTAACCAGCTCTTTTATGTTCAAATATATTTAAGAGACCGAGAGACATTCGCAAAAAAACCGTTTTAGAATGCTGCGACTAGAGTGAAGACAGGCCCTGTGCATGGAAATTCTACCCTTTCATTGAGAAAACTTACGCAGTATGTTTTCATGATTGAGCATTTGAGTTTCGTAGATCTCCCGTTCGTTGTTCCA